ATTGAACTGGCTTAAGACTGGGGCCTCTGATGCAGACGTCCTCAGTAGGGAGGGAGGAAGGGATGGGTCATCTACTTGACACTTCTGGCTGAAGATGGCTGCAAACACTTAAGCCTTGGCTTTTGCATTGAGGTGCTGAGTTCTACTTTCATTTCAAACACATTTCTGTGTTTGCCAAAGTTTGATGTGCAATTACCATTCTTCAAGAAAATTTCACTTTGAGCAAAAGCTATTTTTGAACTGCACAAGGAACTTGTAATACTTTGCTAAAAGGAACCATTATAAGTGACTCTTACTAAATTTTGAAACAATTAGATGCATTGCTATGTACCAATAATGATTATGTATTAAAACCAGTCATCATATTCCTTCTGTGCATGTATACGTCTCTGCTTGTGAGTTATACACAAATTCTTCAAGATAACACATTGTAGAATCTTTAGAAGATACATGATGAATTAAAACATCATGCCTGCCAGCACAGCATGCCACTGTACCATCCCAAAAAGGACAAATGTTTTTGTTTAATTAGTGGCAGTCAGGATGATAATTATTACCTCAGACAGGAAACAGTCATTCAAGTATTTTCCACATTGAGTTCATTGCCTTATTTTCAAGGCATTATATACTAAATGTTTATAATTTTGTGCGCATACTCGTGCACGTATATACATATCTATGTGTCGGTGTTATCCCGTTGTTATAGCTATGCAGAATACTGGTGAAGGCTTTAAAAGATTTGGCTTTCTTGAGTAATTGTTCAAATATTAGACACTATAGCACAGACATGGTCTTATTCATTCTTGGAATCTAAATCAATTATCTATACATCCAATGTCATCATTGGACTGAGGCACTTTGGAACACTTGCCTTCGAAATTTTGGCTATTATTTTCAGCTGAGTCTTCCTCATAATAGAAACAAATTTTTTGTTAGATGTGGCAGCAGACCCAAATAGAAATGATGCAAGAACATAAACACACTTACATACTATGAATTTCACTGGCACAATTCCAAACTAGAATGGAAATGCTAGCTCAAGATTCAATGACATTTAAATATGGAAATACATGTAAGTACACCAAAATGCTTTTTTAAAGAAATTGGAGCAAAAAATTTGTAAAAACTGCACATGGGACTTTGAAAGCACAATATGTTGAAGCACCACAGCACTTGTCCTGAATTGTTAAATTAAGAATATCAATGCATGCAAATTTTACCGGGTTACCACCTCAGTGTTAAAGAAATTGTTTTAAATCAAATCAAATTAACATACAATTTTCTTAGCAAAGGACTATTGGCCATAAATAGTGAAATTAATAGTTTAAATTCTCAAACTAAAATAACAATAATACAACAGCAACTTAATTAATAAAACATAATGCATACTGTTTCAAATTGTATCTGTTCTTTGGACATAATATTTAATTTTCATGTTATTTTTCTTGTAATTGTGTGAATAAGGCTCAGAGTTTAACTCATTTTAGTTATCTTTTCTATTGTACTTTCTGACTGGCTAAAATTATTTGGTTCTCCGTATCTCATAATTTCAGTTTAAAATGATTGTTGGTTATTGCAATATGGCTTAGGTACCTCAAATCAGTTCAACTACAGCATTTATCTCTTAATTACCACCAATTTGGGTTTGTAAGTGAATGTGAATTATCACTGCTATCATCTGGTCCCTGTAATGATTCTAAATTATTGCACAATACATCAGACAGGAGGAGCAACAAAGCATTTGCTATACAATTGCATTAATCATGAGGAAGAGACTTGACTTATCTTACTTTAGCCATTAAATTAACTCTCTTATTTTTAGGAAAGCAAAAATGTTGTTTGAATAGACTGGCTAAGCATAAACTTTTAACAATAAAATTTCTATCAAGATAAAGTCATGTTTTCATAAATACAGATTAATGTGGCACACAGAATCTCAACAACAAAATTAAAAGCAATGTAGTTAAGGCAATTGAATGTATTAATCATTTTACGCGTTATTTATGTTTACTTTCCTTGAGCGGAGAGTGATGTATTCAAAATATCGAGGGTACTGAACAAACTTGATAGGGAAAAATTGTCTCCAGTGGTGGAGAATCAAGAATGAGAGGCACAAATTTAAGTTAGTTGGCAAAAATAAAGCAATGTACACATGGGCAGAAAGTTGCTCACAACTTTGGTTAAGTTTGCAGCCGAAAAATGTGGTGAATTCAGGTTTGATTGAGGCATTAAAGAGGAATTGAATTATTATCTGAAAAGGAAAATGAACAGGGCCCTGGGGAGAAGGCCGGGAATGGCATAGATGAATCACCCTTCAGACAGGCAGCACAGATATCTCAGAACTCTTTTCGAAACAAATGCTGACAAAACATATACATCTTGAAAAGTGTCCGTATTACAGAAGAGGAGGTGATGGAGGTCTTAGAACGCATAAAGGTAGATAAATCCCTGAGACCTGATCAGGTGTATCTCAAAACTTTGTGGGAAACTAGGGAGGTGATTGCTGAAAGGCTGGAGGATAGCGAATGTGGTGCCATTATTTAAGAAAGGTTGTAAGGAAAGACCTGGGACGTATAGACTGGTGAGTCTGATGTCAGTGGTGGGTAAGTTGTTGGAGGGGATTCTGAGGGACAGGATTTACATGCATTTGGAAAGGCAAGGACTGATTAAGGATAGTTAACATGGCTTTGTGCTTGGGAAATTGTGTCTCACGAGCTTGACTGACTTTTTTGAAGAGGTGGCAAACAAGATTCATGAAGGCAGAGCAGTAAACATTGTCGATATGGACTTCAGGAAGGTATTTGACAAGGTTCCGCATGGTAGGCTGGTTAGCAAGGTTAGATCACATGGAATCCTGGGAGAGCTAGCCATTTGGATACAAAATTGGCTCGAAGGTAGGAGACAGAAGCTGGTGGTACGCGGTTGTTTTTCAAACTGGAGGCCAGCAGTTTGCTGCAAGGATCGATGCTGGGTCCACTGCTTTTTGTCATTTATTTAAATGATTTGCATGTGAATACAGGAGGTATGGTGAGTAAGTTTGCAGATGACACCAAAATTGGTGATGTAGTGGGCAGTGAAGAAGGTTATCTCAGAGTACAACGGGACTTTCATCAGATAGGCTAATGGGCCAAGGAGTGCCAGATGGAGTTTAACTTATTTAGAAATGAGGTGTTGCATTTGGTGAGGCAAACCAAGGCGTGGCTTATCATTAATGGTAAAGCCCTAGGGATTGTTGCCAAACAAAGAGACCTAAGGGTGCAGCTGCATAGTTGAAGGTGGAATCACAGGTGGACAGGATGGTGAAGAAGGCATTTGGTATGCTTGTCTTCATTGGTTCAGTGCATTGAGTACAAGAGTTGGGACATCATGTTCCGGCTGTACAGGACACTGGTGAGGCCATTTTTAGAATACTGCTTTCAATTCTGGTCTCCCTACTATATGAAAGATGTTGTTAAACTTGAAAGTGTTTAGGAAAGACTTACAAGGACATTGCCGGGATTGGAGGGGTTGAGCTATAGCGAGCTGGGGCCTCCTGGAGTGTTGGAGGCTGAGGGGTGACCTTATGCTTATAAAATCATGAGGAGAATGGATAGGGAACTAGCCAAGGTCTTTTTCCCAGGATAGGGGAGTCCAAAACTAATGGCCATAGGTTTATGGTGAAAAGGGAAAGATTTAAAAAGGGCCTGAGGGGCAACTTTTTCACACAAACGGTGGTGGATGTATAGAACGACCTGCCAGAGGAGGTGGTAGAGGTGAGTACAATTACAAAATTTAAAAGGCTTTCGGATAGTTATATGAATAGGAACGGTTTAGACGGATACGGGCCAAATGTTGGCAAATGGGACTAGATCAGTTTAGGATACCTGGTCAGCTTGGACGAGTGGGACTAAAGGATCTGTTTCCGTGCTATATAACTCTATGACTCTATAATACACATGTATACAGTGCCCTCAATCTTAGTAATATTTAAGCTTAAATTACAGCTTTAAAGAAAAAATCAAAGATCAGTGAAAATAATTTATCTTGCAAACTATCCTGCTGACATGGAAAACTTTTAAGAATCCTTATTGTGATAAACATGTTATTACTGCATAGTTTGAACTATAGCTTATGTTGTATATGGCCTACAAATCTGTAGTTATGTTTCTCCCTGCAGTCTGCTACCAATGCTTTTCTGTTCCTATTTCCAGAGTTACTGTTTACCCAATTTGCCTGCTTTTGTTTGATGAACATGGCAGTTTGGAAAGTTTTTCATTCACTGATCGATGATTCTAACAAATGAAGTGGCAAATGAAGGATAACTATTGCTTAAAGTAACTGTTCATCATTAATTCTGAGTTCCTAATTGGGAGCAACAAATATTAATCTTATAATGGAATGTCTGAACTTAATTCAGACTTCAGCTATTGCAACATCAAAAGTTTGCAAAATCAAGAGTTTACAAAGGAGCTTTGATTGGGAAAGGAATTGTGCCTGTCTACAATGTCACCTAGCTTTGGTGTTAAGAAAAGCATTTTGGTTCCAACCTGCGGCAAATTTACACAGCAAAAACTGTAGTTGCTCAAAGGCACATGTTTTGTTTAAGTGCATAGAGTTATAAAAATCAATTTTGATTCAATCTCTATTAGAAGCAGGAATATTGTGGAGAAGAGGAAAGTGGGACTATAATTCAAAATTACAAAATGGAGATTCTGTGAAAAATGAATCCTGTTCTTAATTTGTACTAACAAATATCCAAATCAGTGAGATTGATAGGACCCCAATCACGATTTGCTGGTAGGAATTCTGAATTTCAAGTTGTGGGCTGATCTTGAGCAAAATTAAAAATTTGACTTACCATTATAAACTTGCATGTTCAATATTTCAAAAATAGCACAGATTGACAAACATGAAACATCACAGGCAACTGTTATCTCAGAATCAGGGCAGGGAAGCTGACTTTAAGTGACAATGAATTAAAATAATACAGGACACTCTATTACAATTGCAATGAATCCTACCTGAAGTAAATTCAAAGGTCGGAAACCAGGAGTATTTTTTAAACCAACAAATGAACCACCTGTGAAGAAAACAGCAACATATTAGTTCATGTGAATATTGTATAATTCGGTTCAAAAATCACTATTTATAGTCAGGTAAAATAATTTAAGCATATCTATATAGCTGATATTTTCAATTGATTTATGTTCTCACATTTCCAAATAGGTTTACATGTCTTGTATTAAGTATATATTAACACTACTACAGAGCAAAACATTCTTTTAAAAGAAATGTCCTGTCACTGTCCTGGAACCTACAAGCGGATGCAATTGCTCTATGGTGAAATAAGGCTACTTAAAAGTAGCCATGAAGGCACATGTGAAATTAAGAGTGATACACAAATTCCTGCTCTAAATGTCATGATGAACACCATGAACAACTCACTACTTTTAAAATTTGAGTATGCAGAATAATGTTGCAGCTAAGCATTTACAAACATATTGGGACACAAATTATGCAAGTGTCACTTCTGACTTTTGAGTGCTCATGTACTGACAAAAGTGTTGAAGTGTTATGCTTCCCAGCAATAAAATCTCATGTTTAGGATCTCCAACAAATTTGAAAAAATGCAATGACAGCCAAAAAAAATCACTGAATTCAGATTTTGGTCATAAAATAATTAAAACTTTAATAATTGTGTCGGTTTAGACATGTTATGCAATCAGACACGAGAAATCTGAACAAATTTCATAGCCTCTTCTATACCTACTTTATTGACAGTATCAATAGCATTGGATTTCTGAATTATTTTTAAGTGCAACTTGAATTTTGTTTTGGCTAAGTTAGAAAACAGAACTTTTGGAATCTTGCATAATTAAACTAAGGATTATTCAATTTAGATATATTCCACTTGCTCACAACTATCAGAAACTCTACGCTAATTTTCCATGAAGGCAAAAAACTTTTGAAGAGATAACAGAGACGTTGATGAGGATGATGCTATTTCATGTGGTGGATATGGACTTGCAAAAGACTTTTGATGTCGTGGACTAAAAGGGACAGCAGCAGATAAGAAATTGGCTGAGTGACAGGAAACAGGACAGTGATTAACAGATGTGTTATATACTGGAGAAAGGTTTGAGGTGGGGTTCCCCAGGTGTGTGCTGGGTTCCTCGCTCTTCCCAATAATATATTAATGACTGAAATCTTAGTTTACAGGGCACAATTGCAAAGTGCTTCAAAAGGACCTGGGCAAATTGAGAGAATGTAAAGATAAGTGGCAGATGAAGTTCAATGCAGAAAAATGTACTTAATTTTTGTAGTAAGAATGTGGAAAGACAATACGAAATAAAGAGTACAAACCTACAGATTTATCATGACCAGAGTGAGCTGGGCATATTTGTGCATAAATCATTGAATGTGACAGGAAAGGTTGGGGATGCTATTAATAAAGCATACAGTATCATAGGCTTTATTAATTAGGGCACAGAATACAAGATAAGGAGTTTATGTTGAACCCGTAAAAGACACTAGTTCAGCCTCAGCTGGAATATTGAGACCAGTTTGCTGGACTTTAGGACAGTTGTGAAGGTGCTTGATAGAGTGCAGAAAAGACTCACAAAAATGATGCATATGGTGATGTAGTGGTAATGTCAGTGGCTGAGTAATCCAGAGGATCTGGCTAATTTTCTGGGAACATGGCTCTGAATTCTACCATGGCAAATGATGAAGCTCAAATTCAATACAATCTGAAATTATAATATAGCCTAAGAGTGTTTGTGCAGCATTGAGGGTGTCCCTAAACCAAATGGCCTACAGTGATTCAAGAAAGCAGCTCACACAACCTTCTCAAGGGCAGTTAGGGATGAACAATAAATGTTGGCCCAGCCAGCAGGGCCCACATCCTCTGAATGAAGGGATATAAGCACTGTTGATTGTTATAAAATTACATTTGGTTCACTAATGGAAATCTACTTACTTTACAATAGGATTCCAGGCCCACAGCAATGTCATAACACAGAAACATAGAGAATAGGAGCAGCAGTAGGCCATTCAACCCCTTAAGCCAGTTCCACCATTCAACATGATCACGGCTGATTGGCAAGCTCAATACCATAATCCAACTCTTCTTCCCCACCCCCTAATATCCCCTGTTCCTTTGAGTGACAAGGGCTACTACCTCCTTCCTTGAAAATACAATATTCTGGCCTCAACTGTGGTAGTGAGTTCCACAGACTCACCACTCTCTGGGCAAAGAAATTTCTCCTCAGCTCAGTGCTATAAAGGTTTACCTCTTAAATTATTAGCCCTGGTTCTGGACTACCTCTCCATTGGAAACATCCTTCCTGCACCCAAACTGTATCGCCCTGTTAGAGTTTTATAGGCATCTATGAGCTCCCCCTTCATTCTTCTAAATTCAAATGAATACAATTCTAACTAACTGAATCTCTCTTCATATGTCAGCCTTGCCATCTGAGGAATCAACTTGGCACAGCTTCACTACACTCTCTCTATAGCAAAGTTGACTGTTAACTTTCCTGCGAAAAGGCCAAGACAGCCAATCAGTTCTCAAGCAATCAGGTATCAGTAACAAATGCTGGCCAGTGAGTGACACACACATCCTTTGAAATAATAATAAAAGGTTACAAAAACAGATTTGAAAAGTTGGGCTTATTTTCCTTGGAAATGTGAAGCTTGAGAGGATATTTGATTGGACAGAATAGATAAGGAGAAACTGTTGCCATTCATGAAAGATCAAGAATGAGAGAACACAGATTTAAAGTAACTGGTGAAAAAACAGCAAAAGCAACAAGATGGAAAGTTTCTTCATTAAGCATTCACTTGAGTGTGTGGTGGAGGCAGATTCAATCGAAACATTCAAAAGGGAATCAGATTGCTTCCTGAAAATGAATAATGTGCAGAGCTACAGGGAGCAGGCAAGAGAATGAAACTCAGTGAAATGATTATTCAAAGAAATGGCAGCAATGTTATGATTCACCTGGGAAAGTTTGCTCGTTCTGAAAGCCCATTGCTCCTGTTAACAATATAATCAAAGCATGCAACATCCCTAATATACCTGTGCAATGGAACCAAGTTAACAGAAAACAATGACCAGGTTCCTGTACATAAAAGTAATTACCACTTATTGTAAATAAGTAAATTCTAACCCTAAGTAAACAGCTATGAACTATCAATGTATGGCTCTGCTAGTTAGAACTCTAACCCATTCTAAAATTCAGACACATACACACACAGTCGAACAGGAAATCAGTGGTTTTATGAATGAAGAGAAACAACTAGGAACCACAGCTCAATAGCACCATTTCACAAGGCTTGCTGAGATGATCCTTTAGTTTGCCAGGATCTTCGGTTCTTCAACCTTTTTTCTCCAGATTCCTTCACTTCTTCGCAGGAAGCACAGGGTGATTAGTACATAAGTGTAAAGTCTCTTAACTGGCTGATTAAAGGCAACAGCTTACAGAAAATTGTGGGTGGAAAAAATGGGCTTTTTTTTGGCTTCAGGTAAAAATACTTCAGTGTGGAAACACACAATCTGCCCATTCAGAACAAAAACAGAAGTTGCTGGAAAAGCTCAGCAGGTCTGGCAGCATCTGTGAAGAAAAATCAGCGTTAA